AACAATAATAATCCCAGCTACTCTGGAGGCTGAGGCAGGAGAATCGGTTGAACCTGGCAGGGGGAGGTTGCAGTGAGCCGAGATCGTGCCATTGCACTCCAGCTTGGAGTTTTTTCAAAAGAAAAACTCCGTCTCAAAAGAAAAGAAAAAAGAAAACACACACAAAAAACTTATGTACACCATAAATATATACACCTACTAAGTGCCCACAAAAATTGAAAACAAACAATCCATGATTAAAAGCTTTTATATTAACAGAGGACCTCTGACCAGAAAGAGCCGACAGGGGGCGATCCTGGATGATCTGGGGCCGTCAATTGCGAGACGCGGAAGAGTATGGGACTTGTAGTTTTTCTCTAATAATTTAATCTTTCTGGACTACATGTCCCAAAATGCAAATGTAATCAGACAGCCCCACTGTGGGATATGAAGTGTCCGCAGAGCTGTGAGAGGTAAGTGTGTTCTGTGTGTGCTGCGGGTTTCTAGAAGTTGTGGATTTCTTGTGAGGGATTCTATTTCTCTTCTTTGCCCTTGGTGGGACCTGGAAGAGAGCAGTTGTTCCGCTGATGCACGTTTTCAGCTGGGGTTTCCCTGGCCCTTTGGTCTCGGGAAACCGGAATGTGTGTTTGTTTAGCTGTTCACGTGTTGCTGTGGAATGTCAAGGAGAAAGCGGGGTCCTGATCTCAGATCTGGAAAGCCAAGCATAAAATAATGTTTACATACGGGTTGCATGTCACTAGAGGATTTATGCATTATATCAAATAATATGTCAAAGGGTTTTTTTTGAGACGGAGTCTCGCTTCTTCGCCCAGGCTGGAGTGCAATGGCGTGACCTTGGCTCACTGCAACCTGCCACTCCCGGGTTCAAGCAATTCTGTCTCAGCCTTCCCAGTAGCTGGGATTACGGGCACGTGCCACCACTCCCGGCTAAATTTTTTTGTAGGTTTAGTAGAGACGGGGTTTCACCATGTTGGCCAGGCATGTCTGGAACTCCTGATCTCAAGTGATCTGCCTACCTCAGCCTCCCAAAGTGCTGGGATTTCAGACGTGAGCCACAGCACCCGGCCCTATATAGTTACAGCTAGAAAAGCTGACAGGCAGGGGTCTTGTCTCTCTGATGTATCCAAGTAGCAGAGCTTGCAGTGGAAGGTAAACTAAAATAAGGGGGAAATGAAAAAATAAAAGGAGTGTGTATGTGTGCTTAATTACATGAACAAAATCAAACAAAACCTGACTTATTAGGGCCAGGCTTGGAGGCTCACACCTGTAATCCCAGCACGTTGGGAGGCAGAGGCGGGCAGATCACTAGAGCTCAGGAGTTCGAGAGCAGCCTGGCCAACATGGTGAAACCCCGTCTCTACTAAAAATACAATAATTAGCTGGGCATGGTGGCGCTCACCTATAGTCCCGGCTATTCTGGAGTCTGAGGCAGGAGAATCACTTGAACCCGGGAGGCAGAGGTTACAGTGAGCCAAGATCATGCCACTGCACTCCAGCCTGGGTGACAGAGTGAGATGCTGGCTCAAAAAAGAATGAATGGGGCCGGGTGCGGTGGCTCACGGCTGTAATCCCAACACTTTGGGAGGCCGAGGCAGGCAGATCACCTGAGGTCAGGAGTTTGAGACCAGCCTGGCCAACATGGTGAAACTCCGTCTCTAGTAAAATACAAAAAAATTAGCTGGGTGTGGTGGCACACGCCTGTAATCCCGCTATTTGGGAGGCTGAGGCAGGAGAATCACTTGAACCTAGGAGGCGGAGGTTGCAGTGAGATGAGATTGCGCCACTGTACTCTAGCCTGGGCAACGGAGGGAGGCTCTGTCTCAAAAAACAAAACAAACAAAGAAACAAAAAATGAGAAAAAAACACCCCACTTTCTCACATGAGGTTTCTTTTTCTCTAGAATGAAGATGAGCTTTGGGTTGACTTTCAAGTCAGCAAAAGGCCGTTGGATCGCAAACCCCAGCTGGCAGTGCTCGAAAGCTTCCATTGGGTTATTTGTGCCAGCAAGTCCTCCTTTGGACCCTGAGAAGGTCAAAGAGTTACAGCGCTTCATCACACTTTCCAAGAGACTCCTCGTAATGACTGGGGCAGGAATCTCCACCGAGTCGGGGATACCAGACTACAGGTCAGAAAAGGTGGGGCTTTATGCCCGCACTGACCGCAGGCCCATCCAGCATGGCGATTTTGTCCGGAGTGCCCCAATCCGCCAGCGGTACTGGGCGAGAAACTTTGTGGGCTGGCCTCAATTCTCCTCCCACCAGCCGAACCCTGCACACTGGGCTTTGAGTACCTGGGAGAAACTCGGAAAGCTGTACTGGTTGGTGACCCAAAATGTGGATGCCTTGCACACCAAGGCAGGGAGTCGGCGCCTGACAGAGCTCCACGGATGCATGCACAGGTGCAGGAGGTGTACGTGGTTTGAACGCAAACCCGTGTGTTGTTTTGGGAGAGTAGGAACCTTGACTGTCTTGATCACCGCAGTCTTAGACCTTGAGAAAAGGATTTCAGAACAAGTTGTTTACTTTGGAGTTGATTCCAGTAAATTCATTGACGGAGTGAGGACGTAAAACAGAAAAGAGAGGAAAGCCAGGAAAGGGTGTGTTAATGAGTGGGTTACTGCTTTGGGCACTGGGGTTCAGTCTTGTGAGGAACCCTCCAACTGTCTAGGACATGTCGGAGGATTGCTCAATGAAACTTGACGGCTGGGGCTGGGCGCAGTGGCTCATGCCTGTAATCCCAGCACTTTGGGAGAATGAGGCGGGCAGATCATGTGAGCTCAGCAGTTCGAGACCAGCCTGGCCAACATGGTGAAACCCCATTTCTACTAAAAATACAAAAATTAGGCGGTCGTGGTGGCACATGCCTGTAATCCCAGCTACTTGGGAGGCTGAGGCAGGAAAATCTCTTGGGAGGCAGAGGTTGCTGCAGTAAGCCAAGATTGCACCACTGCAATCCAGCCTGGGCAACAGAGCAATACTCCATCTCAAAAAAAAGAAAACAAAAGTTGAGGATGGTGCACAATGGCTTATGCCTATAATCCTAGCACTTTGGAAGGCTGAGACAGGAAGACTGCTTGAGGTCAACAGTTCAGGACCAACCTGGCCAACACAGTGAGACTCTGTCTCTATATAAATAAAGTAAATTATATACACACACACACACACACACACACACACACACACATATATATACATATGTTTTTTTTTTAAAGAAAGTTGAGGCCTGTTGTGGTGGCTCACGCCTGTAATCCCAGCACTTTGGGAGGTCAGGAGTTCAAGATCAACCTGGTCAACATGGTGAAACCCCGTCTCTACTAAAAATACAGAAATTTGTTGGACGTGGTAGCACGCACCTGTAATTCCAGCTACTCAGGAGGCTGAGGCAGGAGAACTACTTGAACCTGAGAGGTGGAGGTTCCAGTGAGCTGAGATCATGCCACTACATGCCAGCCTAGGCGACAGAGCAAAACTCCGTCTCAAAAAAAAAAAAAGTTAAGCAAGCTAGGGTGATTTTTTTTTCTTTTTTCTTTTCTTTTGTGTTTGTGTGTGCACGTGTATGTGTGTGTGACAGGCTCTCACTCTGTCACACAGACTGGAGTGCAGTGGTGTGATTATAGCTCACTATAGCCTCAATCTCCTGGGCTCAAGTGATCCTTTCACCCCAGCCTCCTAAGTAGCTGGGACTACAGACAAACGCCACCATGCCCAGCTAATTTTTAAGTTAATTTTTATTTTTTTGTAGAGATGAAGCCTTACTATGTTGCCCAGGCTGGTCTCAAACTCCTGGGCTCACATGATCCTCCTGCCTTGGCATCTCAAAGTGCTGGGATTACAAGTGTTAGCCACTGTGCTTGGCCCTGAAGCTAGGGTATTTATTCACCATCTTTCATCCCTCATGGGTCCAGGATCACTCTAGGGAAATTAATTCCCTAACGTTTTGACTCTGCTCCTCCCAAGGAGGCTTCCATGGGCAGAGAACATCTGAAGCAAGAGAGACACAGGAAACTGCTTGTAAGAAAACTGTGTGCACCAGGGTGCTGTGGTTCATATCTGTCATCCCAGCAACTCAAGAGGCTGAGGCAGGAGGATTGCTTGAGATTAGGAGATCAAGACCAGCCTGGGTAACACAGCCAGACTCCGTCTCTACAAAAAAAAATTTTAAGAAAGGAAATTGGCCAGGTGCGGTGGCTCACGCCTGCAATCTCAGCACTTTGTGAGGCTGAGTCGGACAGATCACTTGAGGTTGGGAGTTCGAGACCAGCCTGACCTACATGGAGAAACCCCGTCTCTACTAAAAATACGAAATTAGCCGGGCGTGGTGGTGCATGCCTGTAATCCCAGCTACTCGGGAGGCTGAGGCAGGAGAATTGCTTGAACCCAGTAGGTGGAGGTTGTGGTGAGCCAAGATTGTGCCATTGCACTCCAGCCTGCAGCCTGGGCAACAAGAGCGAAACTCCATCAAAAAAAAAAAAAAAAAAGAGAGAGAGAAAGGAAACTGGGATGGGTGCGGTGGCTCATGCCTGTAATCTCAGCACTTTGGGAGGCAGAAAGGCAGGCAAATCACTTGAGGTCAGGAGTTTGAGACCATCCTGGCTGACACGGTGAAACCCCATCTCTACTAAAAATACAAATAATTTGCTTACCTCTATCTTAGCCTGTTTTTTGTTGTTGTTGGTTTTTTGTTTTGTTTTGTTTTGTTTTTGAGATGCAGTCTCACTCTGTCACCCAGGCTGGAGTGTGTAGCAGCCCGATCTTGGCTCACTGTAACCTCTGCCTCCTGGGTTCAAGTAATTCTCCTGTCTCAGCCTCCCGAGTAGCTGGGATTACAGGTGCGCGCCACTACACCCGGCTAATTTTTTTGTATTTTTGTAAAGACGGGGTTTCACCATGTTGGCCAGGTGGGTCTCAAACTCCTGATCTCAAGTGATCCACCCACCTTGACCTCCCAAAGTGCTGGGATTATGGGTGTGAGCCACCGCACCCAGCCTGGCCTTTTTTTCTTATTTAGACAGGGTCTGGCTCATACACCCAGGCTATAGTGCAATGGTGCCATTATAGCTCCCTGTAACCTAGAACTCCTAGGTAATTAGAACTCCAGCTAATTAAAAAAAATATTTTTTGGCCAGGCATGGTGGTTCACATCTGTAGTCTCAGCACTTTGGGAGGCTGAGGTGGGTAGATCACAAAAATTAGCTGGGCCTGGTGGCAGGCGCCTGTAATCCCACCTGCTCGGGAGGCTGAGGCAGGAGAATCGCTTTAGCCCAGAAGGCGGAGGTTGCAGTGAGCCGAGATCGCGCCATTGCACTCCAGCCTGAGCGACAGAGCAAGACCCCGTCCCAAAAAACAAAAAGACAAGCAAAAAAAATTTTTTTTTTGTAGAGACAGGGTCTTGCTGTCTACCCAGACTGGTCTGGAACTCCTTGGCTCAAGTGATTCTCTCTCTTTACTCTCCCAAAGTGCTGGGATTATAAGGTGTGAGCCACCATATCTGGCCACAGGGGGCCTTTTAAGAGAAGAAAATCAACATAATCTGATGGCTGACTAGAACTAAAAGGAGAAAAATGAGGCTGGATGTGGTGGCTCACACCTGTAGTCCCAGCACTTTGGAAGGCTAAGGCAGGAGGATTGCTTGAGCCTAGGAGTTCGAGGCTGCAGTGAGCTATAATCATGCCATTGCACTCCAGGTAAGAGCTACCACGCCTGGCCAAGACCCTGTCACTTAAAAAAATAAAAAAATAGGCCGAGCGTCGTGGCTCATGCCTGTAATCCCAGCACTTTGGGAGGCCGAGGCGGGTGGATCACCTGAGGTCAGAAGTTTGAGACCAGCCTCAACATGGAGAAACCCTATCTCTACTAAAAATACAAAATTAGCCGGACGTGGTGGCACATGCTTGTAATCCCAGCAACTTGGGAGGCTGAGGCAGGAGAATTGCCTGAACCTGGGAGGCGGAGGTTGTGGTGAGCCGAGATCGTGCCATTGCACTCTGGCCTAGGCAACAAGAACGAAACTCTGTTTCAAAAAAATAAATAAATAAATAAATACAATAAATAATAAAAATAAAAAAATAAAAACAGACATAAAATGCTCCCCCACACTGGCTCAAGCTCTGGTGATTACAGAGGTGAAAAGGAGGGCCGGGTGTGGTGGTTCACACCTGTAATCCCAGCACTTTGGGAGGCCGAGGTGGGTGGATCACCTGAGGTCGGAAGTTTGAGACCAGCCTGACCAACATGGAGAAACCCCGTCTCTACTAAAAATACTAAAAAAATTAGTTGGGTGTTGTGGCGCATGCCTGTAATCCCAGCTACTCAGGAGGCTGAGGCAGGAGAATCACTTGAGCCCACGAGGAGGAGGTTGCAGCGAGCCAAGATTGTGCCACTGCACTCCAGCCTGGAAAAAAAAAAAAAAAAAAAAAAAAAAAAAAAAAAAAAAAAGAGGTGAGAAGGGAACGAACCAGGAGACACTGTGTCCTGGAAACCAAGAAGGAGAAGCATTTTAGAGGGGATGGTGATAGACAGTGGCAAATGCGGCAGATGAGCAAGGGAAAGGATAGAGGGAAAAACGCAGGTTTGGGCACTAAGGAAACCAGCAGGCAAAGCATTTGCAGTCATGTTAAGCATAAAAGTGAGCTATAGCAGAAGGTTAGGAAGGAGTGTACAGGAAGGAAACAGACGGGCTGGGCGCAGTGTTTCACACCTGTAATCTCAGCACTTTGGGAGGCCAAAGTGGGAGGATCCCTTGAGGCCAGGAGGTTGAGGCTGCAGTGAGCTGAGATCATGCCACTGCATTCCAGCCTGGGCAACAGCCAGACCCTGTCTCCAAAAAAAAATATATAAAATAGAAAGTATGGCTAAAATGGGGTGGGGATTGTGTGTTAGGGAAAGAAGGCAGCAATGGAAGGGCTGAAAATGGTTGGGGACGAAACATCTCTGACAGCTTTGTCCCTCCCAAGGACATACTGTTCAGTCAGCGTCTTCCTTGGTTCCAGGGTCCTGTGCTTGGATTGTGGGGAACAGACTCCCCGGGGGGTGCTGCAAGAGCGCTTCCAAGTCCTGAACCCCACCTGGAGTGCTGAGGCCTATGGTCTGGCTCCTGATGGTGACGTCTTTCTCTCAGAGGAGCAAGTCCGGAGCTTTCAGGTCCCATCCTGCGTTCAATGTGGAGGCCATCTGAAACCAGATGTCGTTTTCTTCGGGGACACAGTGAACCCTGACAAGGTTGATTTTGTGCACAAGCGTGTAAAAGAAGCCGACTCCCTCTTGGTGGTGGGATCATCCTTGCAGGTATCTGACTTGGCCAGAGTGGTAACCGCCCCCTGTGCGGGACTGGGAGTCCTGGAGAGACCCCCTGTTTGGTTTAACTTTTTCTAGAGCTAGAGAACCTAGACATTCTTATGTGTGTCTTTTACCCATGCAGGTATACTCCAGTTACAGGTTTATCCTCACTGCCCGGGAGAAGAAGCTGCCGATTGCAATACTGAACATTGGGCCCACACGGTCAGATGACTTGGCGTGTCTGAAACTGAATTCTCGTTGTGGAGAGTTGCTGCCTTTGATAGACCCACGCTGACCACAGCCTGATGTTCCAGAACCTGGAACAGGGACTCTCACTTGAGTCTTGCTGCTAAAGGTAATTGCCTTCTCAGATAACAGATTCCAGTTCCCATTCGACAGAGTAGGGTGCACTGACAAAGTATAGAAGGTTCTAGGTATCTTAACGTGTGGATATTCTTAATTAAAACTCATTTTTTTAAAATAAATTTGTTCAGCTTTATATGAAATGCTTCATGAATTTGTACGTCATCCTTGCATGGGGGTCATGCTAACCTTCTCTGTGTCATTCTAATTTTAGTATATGTGCTGCTGAAGAGAGCACTAACACTAATTTTTTTTTTTTTTTTTTTTTTTTTTTTTTTTTTTTTTTTTTTTTGAGACAGGGTCTGACTCTATCACCCAGGCTGAAGTGCAATGGCCTGACCTCAGCTCACTGCAACTTCTGCCTCCCAGGTTCAAGCCATCCTCCCACCTCTGCCTCCCAAGTAGCTAGGACTACAGGCATGCACCACCATGCCCAACTAATTTTTTGTACTTTTTGTACAGACAGGGTCTCACTTTGTCACCCAAGCTGGTCTCGAAGTCCTGAGCTCAAGCCATCCACCCGCCTCAGCCACCCAAAGTGCTGAGATTATAGGCATGAGCTACCACACCCGGCCAAAACTTTTTTTTTTTTGAGACAGAGTCTCACTCTGTTGCCCAGGCTGGAGTGCAGTGTTGCGATCTCAGCTTATTGCAACCTCCGCCTCCCGGGTTCAAGTGATTCTCCTGCCTCAGCCTCCCAAGTAACTGAGATTACAGGCATGTACCACACCACACCTGGCTAATTTTTTATAGTTTTGGTAGAGATGTGGTTTTACCATATTGGCCAAGCTGGTCTCAAACTCCTGACCTCAAGTGATCTGCCTGCCTTGGCCTCCCAAAGTGCTGGGATTACAGGCATGAACCACCATGCCCAGGCGTTTTTTTTGTTTGTTTGTTTGTTTTTTGAGATGGAGTCTCATTCTGTAGCCCAGACTAGAGTGCAGTGGCATGATCTTGGCTCACTGCAACCTCTGCCTCCCGGGTTCAAGCAACTCTCCTGTCTCAGCCTCCCGAGTAGCTGGGACTACAGGC